TTTTTTGTTTGCTAAAAAAGACGAAAAATTATAAATCATATGATGCAAGGGAGTTTATTAATATGTTTGTTATATCTGAAAAGCTAAAGTGATATCTCCTGATCACCAAAATCCTCAAATCCATTAATCTAAGGATTAAAACAGTTACAAGATATATACTCGTATATTTTGAATACGGATATGGGTATTTCACTACATATCTATATCAGTAACCACATCCTATGAGACATAAATAGTAGTAAACATATCCCCACCCTAACAAATATGAACATATCCTGCATAGCGATATGTTTCTGCACCCCTAGTTGGAATACATGGGCTGGTCCTGCCACCAACCCAAAAGAGTAAGCGCTTACATTCTCAATAGCACTCAAACAACTACTGTAGTCTGCACAACCAGCATTATTACTTGAAAGGAAACAACATTGAGTTTATTTGCCAAAGGATTCCCAAAGCACACCAAGATCGACGTTACCACCGGAGAGGATGATACCGATTTTGTTGCAGCCCTTCACTGCAAAACCTTTCTGAAACTTGTCAGAGAGAACAGCAGCAAGGCCAATTGCTCCACTGGGTTCCACAGCCACCTTCAGAATCTCATAGCACATTCTCATGGCATCAACAATCTCTGTATCTTCAACGGTGATGATATCATCCACTAAATCTCTGACTACTGGCCTGATCACAGAAAATAAGGAACTATGTAAGAAAACTATCAATGCAGTAAAAGATTATGTAAATATATGATGGGATCAGTGGGGAATTTAGATTTCAACGTCATGTACTGACTATGAAAATTTTAGTTTAATATTTAGTATTTGCGGATAACTCTCATCCTTTCCCTTAGAGCATCTCCAACAGATTCTGCATCTTCTTGGTATTCTCAAATTTGGGGAATTTTGAGCTTTTTTTTGGTCCAACAGATTCTCCATATCATTCCCCAAAATGGGGATGGGGGAGAAAAAATAGAGAGCCTTCCCCAAATCTGCAGCATTCTGCAAATTTTTGGGGAAGCACTGTTTCACGTTCTTCTAGGCTCAACACACAAAAAACGACAGATTCTCCTCACCTCAAGATCAAAGAAAGTTCGCCGTGGGTTCCCATCTTCGCCGCGGGTTCCCATCCTCGAGCTCGAGCTTGAGGGTTCGCCGCAGATCCTTCAACTCCTTGATTCTCGTCCCTCACCTCAAGATCTAGGGTTTCCATCCGTCGATCTCCTCGAGCTCGAGCGTTCGCCGCCGGTTCCCATCTTCGACGAGCTTCAGCCTCCATTGGATTTCAGGTAAAGTTCTTCTCTCAATTTCAATTTTTGATTGTAATAGACCCTTGAATTTTGATTTTGGGGATGATCAAGAATCCTAATCCTCTGATCTGGAATCCTAATCCTTTGATTGTTGGTCTAGCTAGCTCAATAGTTGTAGATTAAAATTGTTTTGATAACCTGTCAGCATTATAAAATACCTAATTTTATATGAGGAGTTTTTTTCTTGAATTAGAGCTGAGCATAGTGTACCATGGCAAACGTGTATTGCTTGGCTTCTAATTTTTGGCGAAATCAAGGTTGTTGCAATCTGAAGTATGAGCTGAAACCTCTTGTTTTTTGGTATGAGTTTTCTGCGAAATCAGCAAGTTATTGAACCCTTACTACAGAATTATGGAACTAGAGATTTTCCTTGGTCCTTGGTATATGTTATCCTCTTCTATTCATCTCTTTGCACATTATTTCTAATTTAAATGTGAACTGGTCAGAAATTTTCAGGCTTCTATATTGAGTTCAAATTTACAGGCTTCTATATTTAGTTCTGTATTGAAACTTCTATGATGACACAAATGTTGTATAGTTCTGTAATATTATCAACTATTACACTATATTCATCTCTTTGCACATTGTTTCTAATTTAAATGTGAACTGGTCAGAAATTTTCAGGCTTCTATATTGAGTTCAAATTTACAGGCTTCTATATTTAGTTCTGTATTGGAACTTCTATGATGACACAAATCTTAATACTCCTCCTGTAATATTATCAACTATTAGTTCATGTAGTTTAAGTTTTTTTGCAATGAATCATGATATATAAGATCAATTGTCAAGAGTATTGCTGAAGTAAAGTGAAGTGACCTGTCATTGAGGAGACATCTGCTCGCTTACCTTCTCTAAGCCTCTTGAGTACAATAATTTGTATAGTTCTATGTACATGCAATTTAGTAGTTCTATATCTGGTGGTTAAGCAATTCTGAGATTCTGCAGATGAATTTCACCGAGCTCTTCAACAATAGATCGTCCCTTGATGATCTCAATGAACCACATCTGTCATATGATTTTCCATTGAGTCAGTACCATTCCAGTGGTTCTCCTTTTGAAGAGACATATACTACTGAAGCTCACACTGATCAAGAGACGCCATGTGCACCTAGCAGCAATAAATCACAAAAACAATCTCAAAGAACTATCAACTTCTCTCCTGAGGAAGACAAACTTCTTATAGCCGCATGGCTGAATACAAGCTTAGATCCAATCAAAGGATCTGATCAAAAGAAGAACCAATTCTGGAAAAGAATTACTCGATACTTTGAAGATCATAAGAGTTGGTCGGATGAACGAACTGAAAAATCACTGACGAACCGCTGGTCAAAAATAAGTTTCAGTGTGAGTAGGTTTTGTGGACATTATGCTGCAGTTGAACACTTGCGGAAAAGTGGATACACAGAGGCAGATAAGGTGCACACCATTGTTATCTTCATTATCTTCAAAGCATCCTACTGCTTATTTATATTTTTAAATATTAGTACTGATGTTGCATTCCCAAATGTTATTTTTCTGTTAGATATTTACATGAGCTATTCTTTGCAGATACAAGAGGCAAAAACGGTCTACAAAGATAAGGAAGGTCATCAGTTTGGATTTGACCATTGTTGGACTCTTTTGAGGTTTCAGCAAAAATGGATGGTTGAACATAAAAAAATTGAAGCAACTAGAATCTTCAAGGCTCCTACTAAAAATCAAATTTCAATTAACTTGGAAGATGATAATGGAAATGCTCCTGAACCTGCACCCTTGAAGAGGCCTATTGGAAGAAAGGCTGCAAAAGAAGCGAACAAAAAAACAAAATCCAACGAGCAAGGTGATGATGATGAGAAGGAATCTTCAAAAGTCCGTTCTGAGTTGGAAGAGTTTAGGGCAAGGAGACTAGAAAGTGACCGCGTAAAGGCAGAACAACTTAAGTTGCTAATTAATATTGAGCAAAAGCAGGTTTGCTCTTAGAGAAAAGGAAATTGAACTTCAAGCTCGAAGTGAGGAAACTAAAATAATGTCTATGGATACTAGTTCCATGAATCCTATTCAAGCAGAGTATTTCATCAGCCTTCAGAGAAAAAATTTGGCAAAAAGAGCTGGTAAGAATGGAAATGAGTAGTCTCTTGTGTCATTACTCCTGGATATTTATGCTATTCAGAGACTTGTGTTATGTGTTTTGGATTCTTTCTTTCTAGCTTTTCAGCTGCTGAATATTTAGAGGGTAATATTTTGTTGTGAGATTAGTTTAGCAGGAAAAGTGTATCTTGTTTCTCAAGTTTGGACCTTGAACAATGTGACCACTGTTTCTGGAAGTGAGACCTTTGTTAATATTGAATATGAAGCTTTTGAGACGTTTGAGGTAATATAATCATGTTATTTTTTAAATGATTCATTCAACTTGTCATTGTTGACAGTGGATCCATGGAATTGATTGTTAACTTTATCTTGAAATTGTTGACAGTGGAATTGATTGTTAATCATGTTATTTTTTAAATGATTCACTCAACTTGTCATTGTTGACAGTGGATCCAACACTTTCACGGCTATATTCACATAAGTTAATAACTTTATCTTGAAATTGATTGTTGACAGTAGAGTTAGTAACTTTATCTTGACCAAGTATGCTACTACTCAATGAAGTTGAAACAACATAATATTTTTCATAAATTTAACGACATTACAATGAAGTTGAAACAACATAATATTGATTTATATAAGAAAGCAAATCACTAATTGGCTCAATGTTTTTTCTATAAGTGCTCGACAAGATCTTCTTGGAGTTGAGTATGCATTTGTTTATCTCTAACTCGATGACGATTTGCGATGAACTCCATTATTGTTGGTGTACGCTCGAGCGAAAGTGATATATGTGGAATTTCATCAACATGGTCATATTCTTCTTCGATATCATGTATCTTCCTTAGTCTACGAATACACTCATGTTCATCACGCTCGTCTTCGACAATCATATTATGCATAATTATGCATGCCATCATAATATGTTTTAGGTTATCCTTATCCCAAAGTCTTGCCGGGTTTCGGACAATCGCAAAACGTGATTGAAGCACTCCGAATGCGTATCCCAAAGTCTTGCCGGGTTTCGGACAATCGCAAAACGTGATTGAAGCACTCCGAATGCGCGCTCAAAAACTTTCCTTGCCCCTTCTTGCTCTTTAGCAAAATGTCGATGCTTATTTCCTTGTGGAGCTGGAATAGTCGCTGCGAATAGTCTTCACTAATGTTGTCCATGATGGATATATTACGCATTCAGCAAAATAAATATCCCATGTCATATGGGCCTCCCATTGACTTTATAGCTAATATGAAGGGGCACTACCTTCATCCCAATCCACTAAATACATAAGAGCGCTCTAACACATTGATGTCATCTAAGTGACCCAGGTAATCCAAAGATAGCATGGCCATATCCACAAATCATATGAGCTTACAGCTCTTCTAAAATAATAGTGGGTTCATTTGAATAGCTGGCCAGTAAACATACCCATGCCAAGAAGTATTAGGGCAATTCTTCCATGTTTCCAATGCCATTACAATCAAATGCTTCCAAGCATCCCAGGAAAGCCGCCCGTCGTTCCACTATCTGGCAAGTGAATCTCTATAAGGTCATCACTATTTTGGCGACCTTAAGTACTCATCAGCCAAACACTTCGACAACTGCTGCCTGACGAACTTTTAGACTTTCAATAGCGGTGCTTTCCAATCTGTTACGTACTCACTCAACATAATCGGCCGGAACACCATATGCCAAGTTGTCGAAAGCAGCATGTTACCTTCTGAAGTGCATGACAAGCCAAGAAAAGTCGCCCACAGCATTCCTCTTATTGAACAAAATAAGTATCCCGTGCGCGACGACGCATCATGAATGCGCATGAAAAGAGCGTTCGCTCATCTGAATCTCCTTCGCAAAGAGACGCAGCCCCATATTTTGGACGGATTGGCCAAAAGTAGTCACGACAAAGTCTTTCATGACCCTCAATTAGATTCACGGGATATTAACATACAGGGACCCGATAATAGAAACCACATGCCTCCTCTTAGAACTCTGGTTGGCACGTCCTTTTTCTTCTATTTAGAGCAAGTAACAATTCTTCATATTTGTTTTTCGCAAAAGTTGGTTTCCGTTGTACAATTCATTTATATCTTCGGCCGATTACAATAATCAAAAAACCAACAGCTCTTTTATAAGACTCTTTTACACTAACAAAAGCAAAATTACAACTCTGAGCAAAATAAACGCCAGGATCGTTGTTGGCATCACTGCTTTTCGTGGGATCTTGTGCCGGTGCCTGCGGGAGCGCTTTGACTCGTTGCGACCACCCAAATCACAGATTCTGCAGTTGACCTGCTGAGGAGTATTATTGAT